CTTTAAGCTCGTGTTTCAATTGACTCCAAATGTTTCAACTGTGAGCCCACAAAAGTCGATATTGTGATAAAGCTGTCGCTCAATGATCTCCCCAGTTCCTTGGCCGCTTACTCGTTAACCCCAAAAGGGATTTAAAGATAGAACCTGAATTTGAAAGCCACTTGCGCCTTTTTTAGTGCAGCTCTGTGCAAATTTTTGCCCAGATAATCAACAGGCCATCCAGGGCCAACAGCAACAGGCACTCTCAAGAAACTAGCAAAAACCACGCAATAAACTTTGCGAACTGGGAACTCATTAGCCTCTCATCCTATTAGCACTTTAGACCCAGTTGTGTAAAGACCGTTTGAGTATCTTTAATTTATCTGTAAACTAGTGCTTCAATAGAATGAAATTGTTGCAACCACGACCAAAAGAAAATCGATATTGTGACAAACCTGCCAGTCAATGTTCTCCCCAATTCCTTGGCCGATTACTCGTTAACCGCAAAAGCAATTTTATAGGCAAATCTTGCATTTGAAAGTCGCTGTTACAGTCTTTAATTCGTTATTTTATTTTTTTTTCCTGGGTGAACCAGGACCAAAAATAGGCAGCACTCGCAAGAAACTACCAAATGTGAGCCTTTTTAGCTTCTCTAACTCGTAACTCATCGACTGATTCACTGAGCGGCACTCAAACATTAGCAAAGGCTTCTGGAAAATCTGGACTAGGAGCCAAAAACGTCGATTTTGTGGTAAAGCTCGCAAACAATGTTCTCCCAACTTCTTTGGCCGATTACTCTGCAAGCTCAAAAGTGATTTTAAAGGTGAAATCTGTACTTGAAAGCGGCTTTGGCCTTATTCAACGTCGCTCTTTCAAACTTGTCGCCTGCGTAACTCGTAAGCGAATCAGGGAAAATCACTCGCAAAAAATTGGCAATGAAAACCTTCTTCTGATCTTCTCTAGCTGATAACTCCGTGGTCTCTCAAGCGCTTTGCAACCGTCAAGGTGCATTTGGAAGACAATTGCATAGGCTTTAAACTAGTTTCAAAGAAAATTTACAGCAGAGCATCCTCCATAAAACTACAAGCCCTAAACTTTTTCTTAGTCATGCTCCCAGCGGCGGTTTTCGCCCAAATAAAACATCCCCCCGGGGTTTTTGCACGGTATTTGCAAAGCATCGCCTGGCAAGAAAAACGACTAACTGGAGTCAACGAGAAAACAAGTCCATTTGTGAATTTGCCGAGCAAAACTGGCCGGAAAAGTTTCGTAATTTGAAGCGTCAACGCGAGTTGCCCGTGTAGCTTTTGTTCCTCCTTAAATTGGGAAGATTGTCGTTGAACCTGATCCTCATACTCCGACCTGAAGAAATAGTGCAGACAATCCATTGACACGTTACATAGCTTTGATGAGCCCAACTGGATAACCAGTTCAGCAGGTCGGATATGACGAAATCGGTCTCGTGCAACGCACTTTAACACTTTCCTGCGGTCGGCTGCCCAACTGTATAATCGTTGACTAATCGCCTGCAATTATATTCAAATGGGGAGGTTACTGATATTATGCAAATTGAGCCACACGGCTGAAACAATGCCTACTTATTTTTCCCGCCCACTCGATTGTGACATTTTTCGTTTTTTCTACTGTGCTGCGGCCCCAAAATATCGTGGCATTGAAGGAAATCGGGCCGCAGGACTTTACATAGCCCTTGGGACAGAAAATTCAATTGAAAACTGTTTTTTCCATAGAATTGTAGACTCAGCTGTATCAAAAAGAGTGACTCAAAGTGGGCGCCATTTTTTTATAACGGCTGTTGAGGATTCCTTGGAATATGATTTTCTCCTGCCTGTAGTTTTCTGAGGTGTCTGTTCTTGAAGATGCATTTTTGACAGCCAAAAGCTAACATTTCAATTATCATGCATCCAGCTAGGTACTTTTTTATGTTTTTCGAAACTTAAAATGTTTAACAATGTTGAACATTTATAAGCTTTATTTTCTTTGGGGATACTGCGAGTAAACTGCACAACAATGTAACGTTAAATGGTCAAATTTGACCTTAATTTGGAGCTTGATAGTTCTGTTTGCTGAGAGCAACTTCATTTATTTTTGAAGCGTTATCGAGTTTAGGTTTTTGTCGGTCAGTTCGTGTTTTGTAAAACTTAAGTCTTTTAGATTAAGTGCAAGCAAAATTCTTCTTTTTGCCTCAAATTTCAAAATTTAGAGCTCATTTTCAGCTAAAACTTCATCGTTGACTTCAGAAAATACTTTGTAATTCAGAGTTGCATTAAAAGTCATCCGAACCTTTTTTACTTCACTTTGAAGCGCACTTATGACTCTCTGAAAAAGGTGAAAACTGAGTGTACTTTCAAATAATCTGTCCGTTTATTCAACCCTGTATATAGAATTTTAGTCTAAGTGACTATGAAGTTTTCACGTCAACATGCGTTTTAAATTTCGCAAATCTGCCACAGAGGAGAATATTATCTCTTTAAGTCCAAAAAATGTACTATCAACTATGTCTATTTTCATGGTTTTGGTGTTAGGAACTTGCCGACTTTGCAGAAATTTTGCTTCATTCTCCGCTCTGTATGCACTTTATCTGAGGAATTCAATTTTTGCAAAACAAATTGGGCTCGATAACCGTTCAAACAGAAATCAAATCGCTGGCAGCAATCAGAAATTATCCAGCTCGAAAGCTAAGACAAATTGAACCGTGTAAGGCTTATTTTCTTCAGCAGTTTAGTTCCAATATTCTTCATGAGAAATACGCGCAATCCACGGTATGTTGTTCATTCCGAGCCATTTGATTCTTTTGAGAAGGCGAAAGTGAAGTTTGCTTCGAACGAAAATAAAAGTGGCTGCCACTGAACATCTGATGGCTTCTTCATGTTAAAAACAGCTCCACCTTAAGCCGTTACTATAAGCAACATTTAAGACCACACTGAAGGAAGTTTGAGAGCTGGAGACTAAAAAGTGACAATGGTTTCCACAAATTTTGCTCTATTTCATCGTCTTTTCGCCTTTAAATTCGTGCGGTTCAAAAAGTTTTAATTGGTTTGCACGCAAACAAGCATCTTATTTTAAATGTGAAAACCGGAAATTTTGGAATTTGCCCGGTAAGTTCGTCGTAAAAGAATAATTTCCATGCGTTCCAGGGCAAACGGAATTCATACGACTATAAGCGATTTTTTGCCAATTAATATGACAATATTTAAACCCGAAAGACTTCCATCAATAGTTGTAAATGAGGTTTGGAAAACATGAAAGTCTAACACAAATTTGAAAGTTTGACAATTATTCCCACTAATATTGAAGATACGTGAATACATTGATCAAATACGCTGTTGTCAAATTTTCTGTTCGATTTTTTGCAAATATCTCAGTTTCTTGTGAAAATTATGATTATTTTTTTAGAGTCCCTACATATGCATAGACGTTCTCACTTTAAAGGAATGATACCTTGACTATTTAACACTCATTAAGTGTTTAACAAAGGATCCATTTCAGGATGGACTCCAATCACACATCTATAATAGTTTATATTTTAATTTAATTTCTACAGGAATTCCTGTAGGAATTTTAAAGACATTTTTCAATACGCATATTTTAAAAACACCATTTTCTAGCACTATATAGTTTTCAATCTTCTGCTGTGCGCTGTAAATCGTACTCTCTTATAGTATGACAATGTCCGATAATGAAAAAAAATAAATAAAACATAATCTTGACTTTAGAGATTTTGTTTCACTCGCAAACACATTACCAGGAAATAATGTTTATTTAAGCAGTTTTCCTAACAAAAGACAGTTTTCCTAACAAAAGACACAATTTTCATACATTCTGGGCTCGTTGTTGTGAAGATTGGCCTCAGCGCAATCAACACAAATGTTGCGACTAATTTCATTAAAACTGGTTAAAAATGGCAGAAAGATAAGAATCAGGCCATTCAGAAAAGTTCAAATCTTTCCAAAAGAATGGAAATACAACTGGTGAGTTGTTAAGACTTGGAAAAATGTCTTGCTGGCGCTTCGTAAGCATGGATGGCTTGCATTTTAGATTCAAAGATTAAGTTGCTGCTGATGGAAAAAAAAATATGAAGTTTAAGGCTCCTTAAGTGAAATGTGAATCAATAGACAAACAGATCTAACCCAGACCAGTCAAAAAAAAATCGGTTGATTATTGAATTCGATTAGTTCATAATTTTCTAATTTGTTCTTCTCAAATAAATATTCAAATTGTTGACGCATTGACCACACTTATTGTCAAAGAAACAAAAACCTTTCTATCTTTTATATTCTTAAGCAAAAAAACTGAAATTTGCATCCAAACTTAACTGTTGAATTTTAGTTAATGTGCAAATAATCATTAACAAAAATTCTTTATACAGGGTGCTTTGTTTCTAAATGTGCATACCTGGCCTGCATAGTCACACAAGCTTAGTCGGCCTATAAACTTTGCTAATCTCATGAATTTTGAGTGAGTGAAGGAGTCAGTTTTTGAATCTTATTGCAAATTTTGCACGATTTTTTATACAGTGTGTTGGTTTTTTATTTTTATTTTGATCTAAAAATGGGCTCATTTGTTCAGTCCGGTCCTGCAATCTTAGCTTTGAGACTGAGTAGTTTTAGTTTCAGCAAAATATAGTTTCAAAGAGATATGGGGAAAATAAGTGGAACACTTTGTATCTGAAGTAAAGATTGATATTTTGTATTAACCCATTGCTTACTCACTTACATATGCAGGAAATGCATTTAAATTTAAGAGCGAATCACCCTGAAGAAGTAATTTGAGGAATTTAAATCGTTTTTGTTTTGGTGTTTAAAATTTAGAAAAACATGCGTTTAAGTGAAAAAGAAACACTTATTTCGGAAAGAAATTCAATTATTCAATGGCTACAAAGTGGCTTTTATAAAAAACATAGTAAAGTGTTGGATGTCGTTGTAAGTTTCATGACTGCTAAACCTGAAAAAATCCTGAAAGGATCCAAGAAAATAATGTAAAGAAAACTCAGTTTGATCACTTACTTTGCAACCTTCACATGTAAAAGCTCCGAAGTGGAAGCCCGCTGCTGGTTCGCCACACACTTTGCAACGTTGATTCATCTGAAAAACAGCAAAATAACACATTTTAATTTTTCCCGTCCGCCTCTAATTTATCGACTATTTAGTAATATAAATTGACGTGGATGTTGTGAATATTTAAGTAATTAATTGATTAACATGGACTAATTAAACAAGCCGATTCCGAACAGGAAGACAACTGGCATCAAAAGCTATTAAAACTCTCCTACATTATCTGATTATTGAAACCGATATGGATTTATGAAGTGATATATATTCACTAGTGGCTCGTGAATGAACCAGAGCCCGATTTTGCATTAAATTGCCATTTAAAAATGCCAATTAGTGATTGTTAATTAATAGTGTGAATTAAGTCGGTGTAAAGAAGCATGCCAGAGTCTTCGCTCTGACCAAAGACGTCATGTGGAAATGATTCTTCGTCTTAATGAAGCCTATTTGTTTCTTTTATATGGCTTTAACGAGCAACATTGCAGAACTTGTTCTAACAAAAGCAAATTAATTTGGGCAAGATCGTTCTCAGCTTTATTAAATGGCGCACTTACACGCCGAGATCTAAATTAAGATGACTACCAGATAACTATTTAAATATGCCTCGTTTTCTCATCTACGTTAAGGCTTGGTTTTTCCAATTATTGGTCACTTTTTCGATGTTGAATTAATTGATTCCATGAAACCAGTATGGAAAAGTTCTAGTTTTTGCTATTTTAGTCCGTTTGGTATTTCTGATTTGTTATTTGTTTGCGATGTTTTAGTTTCTAGAAATGTCGCCTTTCTGCATACTTGCATACTCAGCTTGTGTTCGTGTCTCTTCAACAAGCCCAGTTTCAACGCCTTGAAACAATCACTTTTCCTTTTCAATTCGTTAAGATACAATCGTTTCTTGTGAATACTTTCCTGGTTCGGTGAAATAAAGCTCCAGTTTCTTTAATTCCTCATTTTACTTCTGCTAAGTTCCTATATATTTTGTGTTTTTCGCTGGCTTTCTTTTCCATGTTCATAGGTTTTTTGAGTTTTTTCATCAATTCAGGTCTGATCCCCTCACCTTTACTGTTTGATTCGATATATTTCGTATTTCTACATATAATGGACGTCAGATTTGAGGAAAAAGCGGATTGTTTTTTAGTGGGTTTCAAACCAAGAAGCTCCAGTTACAAATGGTTTCGCAACCAAGCAAAATTGGCACGATAAAAACTGATTTAAGAGAGAAACGCATGTAACCCATTAGGAGCCATTTGCCTGGTCAAACAAGGGAGGTTTTAGCTTTAGAATGGTCAGCCGAATCTTTGATGTTGCCACTAATTTTGCATTATGTTATCGCATTTTCGACTTGAAACTATCGACTTGTGTTTTTCAAGGAGTTTATGTCGTTTGTACGCTAACAATCCGATTTTTCAAAACAGAAAAGTAGCTGAATTTTTCGAATTTACTAAATTTGATGTTTTGGCAAGGAACATAAGAAACTTCAAATGCGAAAACTTTTATACAGCAGCCTCATTAAGATCGCCTAACAATTGTACATTATGAAACGCAAATTTGAAGCAGCCAAATTCTTTTGACCAACTTTGGAACTGGATAAATTCTGATTGCTTCGAACGAATTTTTTTCAGTTAAAGCGTTTAGCAGGGCTTGTGTTCTGTTAGTCTGTTGTGGTACAAGATGAGTACTTAGATAAGTTTTTTACATGGGGCAAATGGAAAAGTGCAAAATTGAGGAAAGTTCGGCATGCCCAAAAAAGTGAGGACTATTTCTGCTGATCACCGATTATTCCTTCTTGGCAGGCTAAAGCTGAAAAAACGAAAGATTCTTTGAATTTCTTTTTGAAACCCCCAACATTTTAATAATGCCTTTAGTCATCATTTTCATCAAATTTTTGGTTCGGGATTCATCAAGTCCTTGGAGCTGATGGTGGCAGGATGGTGTAACTCCCGATTGTCTTGGCAGTTAAGATTAGCAAAATTTAAAAAACACATAATCGGACTGAGAATAATTCTAAACAACTGCAACGAATTTGACCCATTTAACAAATGAGTAATTAAGGGAGCGAACATGCAACGCTCTAATAACTGAAAGCAAATTACACAATTCCGAATACCTTTTCGGTGGTTCCGGTGGATGGAGCACTTTTGATTTCGTGGCCATGTTACCATGTCAATGGTAGTTTGCGTAAACGAATTAAAGCCGGAAACGCGATTTACGTTGACGATTTGCTTTCCGAAAGACCGAAAAAAATTACTTTGTTAGTGTTGTCCACGTGCTGTTGACGATTTCCATTCGCGATGACCTGTTGCCCTCCGCAATGTCCCGAGTTAATGAAGAACTAAGAACTGGGTATCTAGAGTGGGTTTTATCTTTCTAACCGCTTTCGTGTCCATATTGTACCTATAAATTTTCATAAACCAGAGAGATGATGCTTTGAAATAATTACATACCATGTTTGGTTAAAGTTAATTACTTCCAAAATGCCGCACAATGTTGTTTATGGGTTTGACACAGTGGTGTACGCAACGTCTTTTCCAGCTCTTGTTACTGAATGTTGACAAAAAAAACGCTTTGCAATTGCAACACTTACATACTTATATAAGGACAAATACTAATGACGAAGATGGAGGAGACACTTCTGATGCAAAGCTTGCTCTTGCAAAAATTCAATTTCTCACCATCACTGGGGCTTACTTGATGCGTACATAAATCGACATCTAGTTTTGTTTGAAAGTGAATTTTCATTAATTTGCCTTTAAGCATAATTACAAGCAACTGGAAGAAAAGGTCCTCAATTCGTCTGTGGAAATACTGCAAACCATGACATTATCTGCATCAAAAGCCTATGCAGAATGCATTTTTCCCACTAGCCAGTCAGTAATTGATTATTAAATAGGTTAATTACCTTACGAGGCAATTAAGTTGAATGTCTATTTGAAGCCTGGGTCATTGCTAATTTGGGTATTCCATTAGGTATCTAAATCGCACTGAAGCGATGTCGACACAACCACAGTGAACCTGAATGAACATTATATATGAAAAAACCATTTCAGTAATTGACCCTGTTAACTTCTTTGCATATTTATTTTGAAGACAAAGCTTGCAGGAAATTCTGGCAAAATTTTCACGGTTGAACTCCAAATGGTTTCGCTATGCAAAACAAACAACTTTATGCTACGAACGCATAGGAAAGAGGCTGGAATTGAATGTATAAGGATTAGGCACAATAAATGCAAATAATTAACAATGATTAGAAAGGCACATAATATGTTTAGTTGAGATTGGAAAAATAACCTTTTGTTGGCATTTTTTTACCTTTAGTATTCCAAACGGGAATAGATGAAGGTTGAAGGAAACAATTTTCACTTTTTCGGTCTTTGGCATCACCCGTTGGTAAATGTTTCCTTTTCTACTATTTTAGAAAAATTAGTTGGAATAATGGTCGAACTTGCAAATTGGGTTCAATGCGACAAGTTTTGGTCGCTTTCCCTGTGGTTCCTCAAAAAATTAAAATAATCATCCCTTGGTGGACATTTTTTTGAGCTTGGGCCTCCCAAGTGGAAATTATTGTCGATTAATAGAAACAGTTGTCGCTTGTTGTGCTTATTGCATTAGTTTTGGCAAAATTTGAAATTCTCTCAGGTGGAAGAGTTTTGTTCGCGCACTAATATGGAGTAAATAGTAGGAATAATTGTCAACTACCAAACTGGTCATCACTTCATGGCTTTATTTTAAATCGTTTCTTATTGTTCAGCGATAAATTCATTCGCGATTTCGGCGGAAATTGTTGAAAATAAGTGGGTATAATTGTCTTTTTCGCTTTTCAATGATAACATTTCAATAATCTGTAGTAAAATTGTCACTTTTTTTAATGATCAGCTTCAAAATTGCTGCTTTGATAATATTGGAAATATTCTCAATTGGTTGGCTAATATTGGAGTAATGAGAACGGAGAATGAAAAGTTTTTGCGTTTGATGCTTTTTATATGACTTGGTAAAAAAATCAGATTTGGTCGTAACAATTGGCATTTTTTTCAACCAAATAGAACCTGTTTTATAGCAAACTTCTTCAACAAATTAAAAAAAATCAGTTTTGAGACATCAACCCATTGAAAATTTGGAATAAAATCGCAAATGCGATAAAATAATGCAAAATTAGTAGGAATAGTTGTCACTTTTGAGGTTTACGCTCTCAATTTGTCGTCAATCTTTCTAGTAATTGAATGCTCTTTAGCTGATGTGATTTTGTTTGTGTTGATTGAGGTACGTAAAGAAAATCTTAGCAAAGAGTGGAAATAATTGCTGAAGTTTCAAACCAGAGCTAAAATTGTGCTGAAATATAACTATTTCGGGTTTGGTTTACTCAAGGACATAAATTGGCCAACGTTCTGAGATAATCTGAGCAATAGGACATATTTAGTATAGAAATTTGTTCCTCTGTGTAGGAAGGGTAAAAAGTAAAAATTAAGACATAAAAGAACAAAACGAAGAAACTTTTAACATACTATTTATATGGTGCTAAATCTAAATAATGAATGAATGAATAAAAAATTATTTTTACTTTCTCTGCCCTAAGTATCAATAATAGGAGATAGTGGAAACAATTGTCTTCATTTTGGACATTTTTAAACTGTAACTCTAATATGGTTTCTAAGGCAAATTATTTAAATTCCCCAGCTAGTAGGCAAATATTTAAGTTTAAATCTCATTTCGTTTGATAATGAGAGTTTTAAGTTGCTTGCTTAGTCGTTCGGCTTAACGTTGAAATATTGAAAAATTAGTGGAAACAATTGTCAGATTCTTAGCGTTACCGCCAAGTATTTGCAAAAGTGGCATCAGGCATTTTTCTTCATCAGCTTCTTCTTTTTCTATGCTACCAAATGCAGTCGATAATTTAGTTGATTTTTTAAGCAGGTAAATTTCTTTTTGAGATTGAACCGAATCGTTAAGCAACTTTCAACGAGGCATCGTCACCAACGAAAATTATCGGCATTCAAAATGTTTTTGATGCAATTTTCTCTGAATTAATCTCGAAATTACTC